AATAGGCGTCGCATGAGGAGTAGCTGAACTTCACGATGGGCGGACTGTGGTCCTCGTGACGAACTTCCGAAATAAACTCAACACGTCACGAAAGTTGCAGCCGTGGGTCACGTCGAGGAACTTCAAAACACCGCCGAGATCGCCGTGATTACTGACGAAACCTTGCCACCTCAGCAAGACAGTACGTCGCCAGCGCAGCTCGACATTGAACCTAAGCTTCCGGGCCCGAAACGCCGGCAGCTTCTTCATCTCCTCGCCGAATACCACGACTGCTTTGCGAAGTCGTGGAAGGTAGGCCAAACCGCCGTTACGAAGCACCGCATCGTTACCGAAGACGACGCGCGCCATGTGCATCGATCGCTGTACCGAGTCTCCGTTAAAGAAAGGGAGGTAATCCAGGAGCGAGTTCAAAAGATGCTGAGAAGCGACATAATAGTCCGTGAGCCTCTCCAGTCGTGCTGGTTAAGAAGAAGGACGGAAAACTTAGGTTCTGCGTGGACTACCGGCAGCTGAACGTGGCAACAAAGAAAGACGTCTACCCACTCCCCCGCATCGACGACACTCTAGACCGGCTGTGCCAGTCTCGATATTTCTCATCGATGGACCTGAAGAGCGGCTACTGGCAGATCGAAGTCGACGAACGGGACCGAGAAGTTCAAAGTGATGCCCTTCGCATTGTGCACGGCGCCAGCATCTTTCCAGTGTGTCATGGACACCGTACTGGCAGGACTGAAGTGGAAGAGCTGTGTCGTCTACCTTGACGACGTCGTCGTGTTTTCCAGCGACTTCGACAAGACTTGCGACGACTCCGAGCAGCTCTCCCAGCCATACGGACTGCCGGACTCACCCTGAAGCCGTCAATGTGTCGGTTCGCCTATGACGAACTGAAGCGCCTAGGCCACGTGGTTAGTAACGAAAGCGTCCGCCCAGACCCGAGAAGACTCGCGCCGTCGCGGCATTCCCAGCGCCGAAAGACAAGAAGCCCGTGCGAAGATTCCTCGGACTTTGTGCCTACTATCGGCGCTTCGTTCGAGATTTTGCAAGGATTTCCGCACCGCTCAAAAACCTCACGAAGGACGCCAAGAAGTTCAAATGGGCCGAGGAGCAGCAGCAGGCATTCGACGAGCTGAAGCGAAGACTCCAGACTCCTCCTGTCCTAGGACACTTTGATCAGGATACGGAAACCGAGATTCACACGGACGCTAGAAATGTAGGACTTGGAGCGGTACTGGTTCAAGTGCAAGGAGGCACCGAGCGAGTCTTCGCCTACGCAAGTCGGACGCTGTCCAAATCTGAGAGAAATTACTCCACGACTGAAAAGGAGTGTCTTGCGGTCGTCTGGGCAATCACGAAGTTTCGCATGTACTTGTACGGGAGCCCGTTCCGCGTAGTCACAGACCACCGCTCGCTCTGCTCGCTTGCGAACCTCAAGGACCCTTCAGGACGCCTCGCTCGAAAGAGTCTCCGACTGCAGGGGTTCAACATGACTGTATTCTACAAGTCAGGCCGCAACCACAGCGATGCCGTCTGCTTGTCCAGGGCCCCTGTCGAAATACCTTCCGGCAGCAGCGACGACAAGGACGACGGGTGCTTCCTAGGAGCGGTGACCAACGACGACCTGGCACGACGTCAACGAAACGATCCTGAGCTGCGCGCATTATACCAGCACCTGGAAGGGCGCGGGAGTACCGTGCCCCGTGTTTTCTCACGAACCCCGCCGACCTTCGCCATTCGACAAGGTATACTCTGCAAAGAGAACTTTTGGGACAGCAACTCGCGGTGGCTGCTGGTAATCCCGGCCGACCTTTGAGAGGAGGTCCTTCAACCATGTCACGACGACCCTACGTCCGGACACCTCGGTTTCAGCCAGACACTGGCCCATATTCGCGAAAAGTATTACTGGCCCAATCTCCCCAAAACCGTCCACCTCTACACCCGATCCTGCCAGGAGTGCCGGCGATGCAAGAAACTGCCAACAAAGTCGGCAGGTCTCCTGCAGCCCATTCCTCCGTCAGCTACGCCGTTCCAGCAGATCGGAATGGATCTAGTGGGTCCTTTTCAGCCGTCGAGCCTGAAAAACCGGTGGATAATCGTCGCCACAGATTATCTCACGCGGTACGCGGAAACGAAAGTCCTTCCTTTCGGAACTGCTGTGGAAGTTGCCAAGTTTTTCATTGAATCCATTGTCCTCCGGCACGGCGCTCCCGAAGTCCTGATCTCAGACCGTGGATCCTCGTTCATGGCCCAGCTGACACAAGAAGTCCTTCGTCTCAGCCACACCAGCCATCGTCGCACCACGGCGTACCACCCTCAGACCAACGGACTGACGGAAAGACTGAACAAGACATTCGCCGACATGATTTCCATGTACTTCGACGTGGAGCACAAGACATGGGACGGGGTGTTGCCGTACGTCAACTTTGCCTACAACACGGCCGTGCAAGAGACCACCGGGGTTACACCCTTTCCATTTGTTTATGGTCGCAAAGTGACGACAATGCTGGACGCGATGATACCCCACGAACCGGTTGTCGACGGAAGCGACGACGCCCAGTTCGTTGCCCAACGGGCAGAAGAAGTCCGTCACCTCGCCAAACACCGGATTAAAGCCCAGCAATGTGTCGACACAGGCCGCTACATTCTTCGTCGTCCGGACGTCTACTTCCACCCCGGAGACAGAGTATGTGTCTGGACGCCGGTTCGCCGGTGTGGCCTGAGCGAGAAACTCCTGAAGCGGTATTTCGGACCCTACATTGTACTTCGTCGACTTGGAGATCTGATGCCCGACGGAACAAGAACATCATCACGCCGCCCATCACGACCTGAAGTCATCCACGTCGTGCGTTTGAAGCCGTACTACGCTGATAGGACTGTAGACCTTAAGTGTTCCAGATGACTCTTTAGTCTATGGTTATTTTTATTATCTTTGTTTTGTTTTGTGTTGCATCGTGACGATGCGCTTTTTAAAGGGGGGAGTTATTCCGCGCGCGCAGCTGGACAAGTAGGCAGCGCGCGCATGGCCTAACGGTTATCGCGCCTGCCTCCCACGCGAAAAGCCAGGGTTCGATTCTTAGGAGCGACGCGTCTTTTGTTATTCCTGCAATTTATTTTTCTGGTAAACTCGAGAACCCTGTTGCTTGTTCGAGGTCCGAATGTTCTACGCGTTGAACATTCTACGCCCACAATTCCAGAAGCTCACTCGTGTACATGAGGGACTTCGCATAGCGAGCCAGGGTCAGTTTCGCCCCAGCATTAAAATCTGCTGTTGCGCCGACTTCGACGCCCGCAACGCTCTGTTATTATATTTCGTACCCGTTTATTTTTGGCACCAGTTAGCCACATTAAATGTTTATTTTTTTCTGTCTATTTATTGTTCTTTTGGTCACCACCCGTGACAATATATATAACATTAATTTCTACCTAGTGTTCGCTAGTAGGATATATACTGGTAAGCCGATCTTGAAGCACACATAGAGTTGCTGTCAGCTGAAAGATCATAGGGTGAGGACCATTATGGTGTTGATTCTGAGAGCGGGATCGGCGCTTCGACGATCTTATCCACCGATGCCGAGATCTTATTAGCTACCGAGCAATGGTAAGATGTTCAGCACCCGGCAGTTAATGCGTTTCTTAAATTGTTGGTGCTCTAGCTCCCCTAACTGACAGGTTCCCCTCTCTGCACTCATCTGAAACACCCATGCTTCCCAAGCTGCTTGGAAACTTAAAAACAAATTATTTTTGGATATCCTACCTCTCCATTATCCCCGCATGGGAAGCCAAATGGAGCGAAGTATCTGTTCGTCTTTGTGGACCAATCGGATTTCCAATTACGGCACCTTATGACGCAGTGCTCCATACTCTGAAAATATTTGTAGCGAGAAAGGTAGTTAACTTCAAATATTTGCTGTGGGAAAAATGTTTGATTAATTTTTCAATATTAATTTAGATATCAAATTCTGTAGAACATATATTTCCCTTAACTACAGATGCTACCGCAAATGTGTAATGGTCTCCGAAATCGATGCCTGGGTGAAAACATTAAACTTTAGTTGTACTTGTATTATTTTTTATAGAAGATAATGCGTTGTGCATTAGGTTCTATTGCGAAGTCAAATTTGGGGGTTTTTACGTGCCAAACCAACGACGGGCATCTGCCGGGTTCTATTTCCGGTACATGTTTAGCGATTTCACATACGTTTATTTCTGGGTTTCAAATCCAACGGTCCAGTCCTTATATATGCAATACCTAAGAGGCGTTTGAATACATGTAAATGAACAAATTTAAAACAAGTCATTGTTCTTTCTTACAAAGACAAAAAATCGAGATTGTACTTCTCCAACCATAAAGAACGTCACTCTATGGGAGCCTCAGCTGTGACGTATGTTCATGACACAGCACAGACATGATCGGCATAACTTAAGAGGTAGCTTTTCTTATTGGAAACGTGTTTGTTATCGCACGACTCAAGGGTTGCCCAAACGAACAATAAAACAAAAACAAAAAAATGCCGTGCACGGAAAAAAAAAAGTGTGCAGGCTTCCAAAAGGCGAGAAGTTTGCTGCGCGGGCCTACGTTTAAAGCGAGGGCATGAACCATACAAGCAGCACGCCTTTCCTCCTCGGCTCCCCACTGTCGTACCCTCCTCTTCCTTGTTTTCGGAAGATTTGCGATTGACAACAACATTGGGGTCTTGACGACAGCCAGCAGAGCGTGTGACTCCGGATCCACGTGATGAGCACCCTTCAATCCTCTCTTCAAGAACCCAAGTCGTGAATAGCATTTTCGAGCAAAAAAGAAAAAAAAAGAAAAAAAAAGAACGTTTGCGAGGTGACCGGTACAGAAGGAAACCATTCATTTGTAGCGACAGCAAATGCTGTGGTTGCACAAACCGTGTACTGTTGGAACAGACCTTCAGCATGCTGCGCGCATTGCCAAGAGGTAGGGGAGCGGATTTCAGGGAGAGGGTAGGTATACAAAAGGGAAGGGGAGTGATGCTCACGGCCGAATAGTATTCCTCCGGGTGAATGGTTCGACAAAACCTCTCCGGTGTGAGGAAACCGTCCGCAACCTGCTTGGTGATGTTAAAAAAGTCATAGTCGGATTGTGTTTTCCAGCATTTCTCTCCACGTAGCCTGGAAATAAACAAGAATCGGTCATTATATGTTTTAAAATAACAATATATCGAAATCTGGGTGTGTGCAATGGAAGAAATACGGACGTTTTCATGATAATGCAATTGATCCAAAGGTGCAAGCGAGCTGCACTAGAGTGATGAAAATATTCCCTGGAGAAGAGGAACATCGGGGCCAAAGGAAAGACACCAATCTCCAAACATAGCTAGGTGACTTGTGCGCGACAGAAAACATCCGCCTGGTCCTGGTATCGAATCAGGGACCTCTCTATTTAGAGTGGAGCTCTCTACCTACTGAGCTAATCAGGAGTTAGGCGTCAGTAGTGCTAACAGGTTTTATCAGCTGCCGTCGGTCGAACTCCAACAACCCTAAAGAAAACTCCATTTGTATGAAAATATTCTTGTGTCCAATAAACACATATGAATCATGCAAGATATATAAGAACATATAAGAACCACACAATAACCATAGCAATAACTATATAAGACATAAGAACATAAGAGAAACTTTTCACCAGATTCTTATATTTTTTATATAGTTCTTATATATCTTGTATGACTCATACGTGTTCATTGAACGGAGATATTTCTTATACAATTGAGAATTTTCAATACGGAAGGATAAAAGGCTGCCTTTTAAGGTTATTACGATAATGAAAATATTTCAAAGGTGCAAGCGAGCTGGAAAAACATGATGAAAATAATCGCTGCAAAAAAAGAACAAGGGGACAAAGGACAAACACAAATCTCAACACAGCTAGGAGAAATTAACTGTGTTTAGAGATATGTGCTTGTCATTCGTCCCCCTTGTTCTTCTTCTCCGGGGAATATTTTTATAACGGATGTTTTCCTGATTCATGAGATTAGCTTAATAATACAACATTTACATCTTTAATGAACACACAAGAAGAAATAGAGAAAAGTATCCTTCCACTAGCAAAAAGCAGCCGATATACTACATCCTCTTTAATTGGAGTGATTATCCAAATGCGTGCCTACGAAAATTCTAAGGGCCCTGTAACACTGAGGCAACACTACGGCAACAGCAACACAGCATGCTGTCCAAAAATCGTGCAACTTGTTGCTCCCTTCCCATGTTGTCCGACAACCCTGTGACATCGCCGCAACAGTAGCACAACATGAATGACAACGAAAAAGTTACCTCGGTATGACAGCTTTCGGAAAAAAAAAAAAAAAAAAAAAAACAACTTGTTTTGGACAACGCGTGCTGCTCTTATGACTGGCTGGGCGAATTGCGGGCCGACAACAAGACAACACCTATAGCTTTAAGGGCAGAGCTAGTTTGCTATCAACGTCGTTTTTTTATGAGCTTACTAAAATAAAGGCTTGGAAAACGTTATCCAACAATAATTAAGGCTATCGTGCAGCTAAGATAATTTTATGAATGTTTTTACCGCATAATTATTGCAAGTGCTTGTCAAAATGGTCACAGAGGCGGTCGTGAACGTTCAAACTGCTGTTGATCTTGGAACTACCGAGAGACCAGCTCACATTACTGCTAGTGAAATAAAATAACATGTCTATACTAGGCTGCTGATATGATATTATTAAAATAACGCAAGAAAGAAAAAGGTTAAAAAATAAAAGCATTAAAACAACCACTATGATAATGATTCTTGATTTCATTTCATTTTATTTATTATATCCTTAAGGCGCCCATGGGGCTTTACATAAAGGGGGCAAGTACAACATTATTCAAAACACAAACAGAAAAGAAATAAAACAAGAAAACAGGTGTTACGATTGCTATGCGTTTAAGTAAGTGGTAAGAGAAGCTCTGAAACCAGAGGATTCTTGGACGATTACAATATTATCAGGAAGGGAGTTCCATTCGTATGTAGCTAACTGTAATGGAGATAATTTGAAAAGGTTTGACCGTGGAGTGACCAAATGGAGGTTTTCTGAATTGTCAGTGCGCGCGGAAATATGTGGTGCAGTCCGGCAATACAGTTATCTCCTGGATGGGCAGTGGTAGTACAATGTATGCAATGATGCAAGTCTTGAGATTTTCCTTCTGTGTGCAAGAGTTGGTACTCCGAGTTTTTCCTTTAGTGAGGTTATGCTTGTGCGCGTGTACTTTTTAAGAATGAAGCGTGCGGCTCTATTTTGCACTGATTCTAGTTTTTGTGTCAAATAAAACTTATGTGGCTTTTTATATTAAAGAAGCGCAATCCAGTTCAGATTGAATAAGGGCGGTATATGCTACAAGCTTTGTTTCACAGTTTGCCATGTGAAGATTTCGACTTAAAAAACCGAGGCTTTCATTTTCTTTTACACTTATGCGAATGATGTGGGCTTCCCAAGACGATTTTGATGTAAAATGAACCCCAAGATATTTATATGTATGCACATGTTCAAGAACCCCATCGAAGAGAGTGAGTGCTAAACTGCTGGACTTCTCTTAGTACTAAAATTGTCACATTTTGCTTTTAGAAATACTTATCTTCATTTTCCACATTAGACGCCATGTCTTTATTATAATGATGTCGGTCTGAAGTTCAATACAGTCCCGAATGCTAGATGAGTTTCTATAAATCACACAATCATCGGCATAAAAACTGATGGTGCACTGGATAGTAGGGGACAAGTCGTGTACATACGAAAGGAAAGTAGTGGGCCCAGCACGGTTCCCTGTGGTACTGCTGATTTTACGTTCCGATGACATGAGGATTCGCGTTCATAGCAGACACTTTACGAGCGGTCGACGAGGAAGTTCATTTACACTGTATGACAAATGGTTCTATTTGCAAAGCGCGTAATTTAAGAAGTCGTTGACGTGGTAACTTGTCAAATGTTTTTTTTTTATGTCCATAAAATTGCATGGGTTTCTCTTTTAGACTGAAGTTTCTGATGAAGGTCTGTGAGAAATTCAAAGAGCTGGGTTTCGCATGAATGATACCGCCAGAAACCGTGCTGGTTTAAAAAGAGCAAGTTGTTGTCCGGCAAATGATCCATAATATTCCAGAAAATTACATGCTCCATCAACTTACTAGGTACACGTGTCAGAAGGATCGATCTATAGTTCGTCAACTCATTCCTGTGACCGGTCTTAAAAAGAGTGGGGACTTTTGCTTCTTTCCAATTTGCAGGTATTTTACCAGTATGTAAGGAGTGCTGGAAAAGTAAACACAGAAGAGAGGAAGCTTCTTATTTGCAGAGCCTAAGCACTTTCGTTGAAATAATATCAGGGACTGGAGCTCAACTTTGTTCAAGATTTTCTATCAGTTTGTGAATACCAGTCGCACACATAGCAATTGGAGCCATATGAGTTAGTATACTATGTTCAGGTAAAATAACTAGCAAGGGAAAGGACTCGTCAGAAAACATTTCACTAATCAGAAAACATTTCACTAAAGAAATTGCCAACTCGTTCGCAGACGTCAACAGCCTCCAGCTCGTTTCTCGAAGAATCAGTAAAGTGAAAGGGATTGGAAGTGTGCTTGGGTGTTAACTGCAGTCCAAATTATTTTGAGTTAGTTTTTATAAGGCCGCGTAGGTCCTCAATAAAGAACTAATTTTTCGCTTTTATTATTTTATTCACACACATTTGGGAGATTTCGTCGTACTTTGCAAATGCAATAAAAGAACGCGATATTTTAGCCTGCTTGCTTGGCACTAGGAAACAGCCGCTAGCAGACTCCCGAACTGATTCAAAAATCCCCAGGACGTTTTGGAGAATGAAGCGATCACATAGCAGGCAGAAGCAAGTATACAGCGTGGAAAAATATTTATTTTACCTATTGTTATGAAAGCCGATAGCAAATACGATATAGCTTCGCCAATACTGGAAACTCCTCCGGAAACACATAGGAGCGGCGGCGAACGTGACAGTGGCGCCTCTAGCGGACTCGGAGTCTACGGAAGCAGTCGTCGCAATGGAAAAGTATAGGCACTGCGACGTCCTCGAGCTTTACAAGCCCTGTATCGTCACCCTAACAGCGAAAACTATTTATTACGGTCAGTTCGCTTGCAAAGCGGAATCCACTGATCTCAACTGCAACGACAATCGAATAACAACGCGCGCATAAACAAAGATAGAGCAGTTTATTTAGAGGTATCAAAAGCCTCTCAGGGGATCACACGCGTTTGAAACGTGTCTGGGAAGCGGAAAAAAGCCGTTTAGCTACTCGAACTACGTCGTAATCGTTAAAACATGCAAAAACGACATGTTAATATTATCAGACCAAGCGCACGAGCTGCTGGAGCATAGAAACAAAACAAGAAGTAAGGATAAAAATGAACGTGCAAACACTTACCGAACTTCGCAGAAAAAATGGTGTCGCCATTCCCGACGAAAATAAGAAGAAACGGGAAAGAGAAGAACAACGGCGAATAAAACAAAGAAGCTAGCAAAAAACTATTTCAACGACGACGATTGTTGCGGCGCTTATAGAAAAAAAGAAAGAAAAATGTAAAGCAGCAAATGAATAGCTGGTGGTCGCCACCGGTGTTGAGCTCACGACAAACAAAGCGGAATCAACAGACAAAACTAATTAAAAAAGAAGAAAGCGACCCTTTTTTTTCAGCTGCTTGTTGTACATTTCTTTATATGCTTTCGCGGCGTCGGTACGAACTAAAAACAAAACAGGGGAAATTAATAACGTAGTGTAGCTCACACTGCCCGGTAAAAAAGAGTCGCAGAAATGTTTTGGTCGCAGGCAGCAATCTTTTATATGTGCTAGCAGTGAATAACCTTTTTTTGCTTTCGAATTTCTTTTTCCAGTGACTTTGGCGGGTTGTTCGTTCGCTCGCTTGACGAAGCAGTTTAAAAGTGCATTCAAGTACTTGTTGACGTAGGTGTCGTAGGTTGACGTAGGAAGCCGAAGAAAGATTTTCCACCACATCGCACAAACTTGTTCTTGCAGTGGTAGGCACCACATCGCACAAACGTGTTCTTGAATGCGGCCGGTTGATCAACAAACGATGACCCGTCGCAATTCGAATAAAAATGGGTAATGAGCTTACACTTTTTAATATATTTAATAAATATCAAAAAGCACGTATGACGATTTTGGATTAGAAACTCAATCGAAGGCGAAAATGGGAGGTTATCGGAGACGACAGTGGAAGAAAACAACAACAACAACAGCAAAGTTGCAGACGGCCCTCAAAATGCCCGGGCCTAGCGCAGACGAACCGGGGGTAGTAAGCGCGGAAGCGAAGGAAAGGGAGTAAAAACTAAGCCAAACAAAGCAAGGATACGCGATTGCTTACACGTCGGGCAATAAGAAAAAAGGAAAAAGCAAACAAAAAAATATACGCAGCAACATATAAGCAGGAGGAAGAAATAACGCGGCAGAGTGGCGTCGCCTCAAAGATATAAAAGAAAGAAGACTCAAAAATGGAAAGAGTGGAGACGGTTCAACGGGTGTCGGCCTTTATCGTAGAAGAAAAGAAGCAGCGAAGCAGATGTTGGTCGTCCCCGCGCTAACAATCGGAATTTGTGCACTGTAAATAACGTGACTGAAATCATCTTTTTTCGCGGGGCTACGACGCTCTCCCCTTCTTTCTTTGCAAGCGCGAGAAGTTTGCTTTTTTCGTAACTTCGCTTTTGTTAATCTATAATCGCGTCAGATTTGCATATGCACAACGCCTTCTTTCGGCGCATACTGACATCGCCCTAACGTACGTGGTTCGAAATTGACTTCTGCTTCTTCATCCGGAGACGATCTTAACGGGATTAGCCAGCTCGCCTGTTCGGCGAAACGGTTATAAGCAAGACACTCATGAGAAATGGGAATTGCAACGACAAAACGAATTGACTGATAAGAACAATAAAGTTGAAACGAAGCTATGTTCTGAAATGTTTGTACATTTCTCTTTTTCACGAAACAGCGCGAAGGCATACATTCGTGTTTTGCTTGGCTTACATAAGTTGTGACAGAATGTTTTCTTCGGGAGAACTCTGAAATTGCACCCAGAAAGCTGTAACATCTTTCCCACGCGAAGAGAATGTCTTTCACTCATGAGCTGGTACCCATTTTTTTAACTTTCAAAGCAGCGAATGTCCGCGACAATTTTTTTTCGTTGGTCACCTCGCACGGAGATAGGCAAAACCAATGCATTTCGGAGAATTTGTCTGCCAGCGGAGACTCCGAGCTCGCCAGGGGCGCTGGAATCACTTTTCGCCCGTTTTCCGCGGGAGTTGCCAGTATTGGCTTCCACGGTATTTGCCGATACTGTCGGTGTCGCAGTTTTTAAGCAATGTGAGTTCAGCTCAACACCACGCTGCAAAAAACGCTTCAGGAAACTGTAGGTGATAACTCAATTTTACAGTAGATGTCGGAATTTCATGAAAGAAAAAACTGAACAGAAACACCTTATACGATGTCGTAGATTCCTAACATATATCGGCAATATCATCTTCTTTGTATAGGGCTATATCGTTGTCAGCGAATGAAGAGCATCTTCATAAAATAAAGGTGGAAAATACTTCCCCGTGTCAAGTTTTCTAACCACAGTCAGTAGTTGATGCGGTCCCGTGGCAATTTCCGGCCCGTCGAATGCTCTAGCACATTGAAGATTCTCATTTCCAGCGACGCCTCGCCACACACGAACGAAGGTAAACAATCAAGATGGTGGAGTGTTCCAAGCATTGGGCCCGCCGTTAGCGCGGCGTGATAGGGTGGACGGACAACAAATCGGCCAACACGGATTCCGGGTGACAGCAACATGTTGCCCTGCTGTTCTTGTTGCCGCGATGTGAGAGGGTCGCTGGAAACGCGTCTATATCGTGTTGCCGATTAGAGTTGTCCGACAGTTGCCTCAGGGGTTCGAATCAATCAACCTTGTTATGGTTCATTCGGTTAAGTTCGCTTACACGAACCAACCGACGGACGCACCAGGACTCTAAAAAGAAAATTATTTGTTAAATTTAATAGATTCAGCTACATTTTGGTAAACGCTTTGATGTTCCTTAATGTCGATATAATGACCATAGTTTGTTTATATCGAGAATAACAGGACAACCACAATAAACGTATTTTCGCTGTGAACCTGGCGCCTGGTTTCCTCGCCAATGACAGATGAGCTGCAAGTTCCTTTCAACTATCGCTGACAGCTTAAGGAACATGATGCGCATAATATAGTAACGCTTTTAGCGTCATCAATCGTGTGGTAGATTTAGCTGCCTTTTAAATGAACTACGATTTAAGTAACTACGATTACAAGTAACATCCCCGTCAACTGGCAAACAATGCATTCAAAATTAGGGTGAAATAATAGCATAGGAAATGTCACGGGTTCAAAGAAAAATACAGGTTCGATGATGCCAGCGCCTAAGGAAGTTCAAGCAAATACTTACTTCAAAACAAATTGCATCCCCTTCTCACTACAATGCGAAAACGCGAAAGGCGGTCCGAGAGGCCCTCCAGAGTCCATAATGTATTTGACTTTGGACTTGCAGTCAACAGCACCAGGATGATTCTTGACATTTGTCAAGGGACCACTTCCATCGTGCACGCTCCCGAGCCTGCGAAAATATTGTTCATGCTAAGAAAACCGTCTAATGGTCAACACTATTTTCAGGGACAAATCAAGAAACGCAAAGCAAGGCTCATTATGGTCACTCTTCTTATCGGCCCATATCGCATTGTCCATAGCGATGATAAAAGGCATGGGGTTTACTAATGGTGAAAGCTTTTCCCCGGTGATACGCTGAGCACATGTGTTTGTAAAGGAACCGACGAGATACTTACAAATGCCCAATTTCGTGGGCTATTGTGGTGAATCCACGGTACACAGGAGGTACTGCCTCGGAAATTCCCACATTAGCGCCTTTCACGCAGACCATTCCGGAATAGGCACGGCCTGGAAATAATAATCCATCTGTTGCTTACCAAATACATTCAATAACGTTGTTTTAAGCGCTAAGAATAAGCTGTGATGTTAAAATCACCGTCTTTGGAAGAAGCAGGTATTTAGAATTATGAGACGTTCAGCCACTTAAAGTTAATAATTAGCCGAGGCGTGACCGCTTGTGCAAAATGCTCGAATGCCAAGGAAACAAGCCGTATCAAGAAGTAAGGCGGTGTGCTTACAGGGAAAATTTTCTTCAGAAAGGTACAAGCAAAACAAATACACAAACAAATATGAAGAGTTACTTTTTTCAAAGGAAATCTAAATTACAAATAACTAAACTCCCAGTCTTTGGCCAAATGCAGCGCTCGGTGCTCGAACCTGATGCCAAAGTTTCAGAACTTGCTGACTCAAAGGATATGAACAGTTTTTAGGAAATTTAAGAAACGCTTGAAAAAGAGTGACGTCAGCCACCGAAAACGGGACTCATTTTGCCAGTGTAAAATTAAAAAAAAATTGCTTCTAACTTTTGAATCTGCAAACACTGAGTTTTAAAACTTTGGCATCAGGTTGTACCGTTAGACCTCCATTTGGAGGGCACTAAGCATTAGGCAATGCGTTGGCTGCCTTGTAATGGGAAAACACTATTTTTTCTGGACACACGTACATTTCCGGCCTTACAGTTTTACGTAGTGTTGATTTTCGCGTTTGGTGTTGTAGAAATCTCACCACGAATATAAGTGAAATTTTCAAGAGATATTCGTTGAATGTGATGTTTATGATCATCATCTGACGACAACCCTTCTCGTCAAATTTTATTTGCGAACTAAGTGGCCGAAACATGCTTGAAAAACATTTTGAACTTGACTTTCTCCAACTACTTCAAAGCAAACAATGTGAATTTTATTCAGTAAAGGCCATCTTCTGTGAAAACGGCTACCAACTTACCAATCCCAATCAGTAATTCATGTTACAAAATAGCAGAAACGGCGAATATCATTCGTTATTCGTTAGACATCTCCCGGAAATAACTGGTTAAACTGCGATTCTCTCAAGATTCAGCATAAATGTGTGGTCCCGAGCACCTTCCGACCCCGCTTTCTTACCTTGAACGTTATTAGATAATTTTTTAGTCGTCTTGTTACGTGTCCCTAAGCGGCGCCTGAAATGTAAATATGAAAATACTAATTATGCGCATCCCTGCTGCTATGAACAGTAATCACATGAAACGGTGTATGTACATATAATTTGTGCTTTTTAGGCTTTACATGTCCTTTTTTTTGTGAAAGCTACACTTATGCAGTCTCGGCAGATGAGTTACACGGCGATTGGGACGTAACACAGGAGCTGTCACGATAAGTAAGATTATTAACTAAAACTTGTGAATGAACGTTCCAGTTCGTAAGAAAACATATCATTCTAATCAAAACGTAGTTGAGCGTCATCAAAAAGCACTAAAGTAGTCGATTTTAGAAAATTTTGGGAAGGGTTGTGGCGCGCTGACGTTACCACCCGTGATATCGGTGCAAGGTTGGCGATGCAAAAACTCAGATGAGAATATAATCTTCTGCGTTTGCCCATCACCAGCCCTGTCAACCTAAGAAACTCTCGATTTTGAATGTAATATTTACCCGCGGCCCTTACCACGTCTTTCTCTGGGCCATCGCTTTGAACCAAACGTAGAGACAGAGAAAAGGATTGTGCATCATGAAAAGCATAAGCTTTTTTTTTGTATTTAGAACATAAAGATTCCGTAAGAAATATTAAATATCCGCTAAACTCACTTACTATACATAAACAATCGACGAAATTGAAGACTTCACTTAATATTTGCAAGAGAAATATTGTTTCCGGGAAATTGTTTCTTAACGTCTGCTGACAGGAAATTTTAAAACCAAAACTGCGACGCTTGCGACAGCTTAATACTGACAATTGGAGATCCCTGGGATTTGCAGAAATACAGGGCTTTGCTATCCTCGGAAATAATACACGAATAACTTGTAGCATGCAGCGCATATTAGCCAAACATATGCACCTCTACCGCTCGTTTTGAGGGGCAACAAAACTTTTTTACACGTCTCTTGTCACCTTGCCGTAAAGTCAATTTAACCGGAAAATAAAAAAAGAGGGCATGTTACGATTTTGGATTGAAATGCTCTTTACACAAACTTGCTGCCACGAGTCGTACCGAAGTACGAAGTTAGCAAAGGTGGCGATGCTGGGCGAGTTTGTTCATCACTAGGTAATGTAGTCACACAGACGTTGCGTTTTTCGCTTTCTTATAAAAACAAGCGGTTTATTTCGACGATACCCGTTCGTCACCGAGACGGGTACCTACCTTCCGAATCTCGTTCATCTCGAGTCTACCTCCTCTTTTTTCTCGTTGTCCACACACAGCCTATCTAGGTGACGTCACACGCCGATGATACCACATCGCGTGGACCGGTTGCGGCATGCGTTCGCGGTTCTCGCGCACACGTGCCGACGGCTCCTGTCGTTGACAACACGGCCATCCTCCATCCCAGTCGCCCCGGCTGGGTCTTCCCGTCGCTGGAAGTTGGAATGTTTCGGCGAAGTGATCATCCGACTCACGCTAGCTCTTGCTGAGGTTCTACCTCTGCTATACCTGTGTCGCTCTCCGCTTCCGTTGACAGGCCGTCGTCGCTGCTCTCGGTGCTACTCTCAGCGCTGGCCGTGAAATGCTTCATCTGGTCAACAGCGGCAAAACCTTCGTAGAAACGTTGCGAGCGTTGGGTCTCCGGTAGATCTTGAACTTTATACCTATCGTGAGGTAGCTTTTCCACAACGATATACGGGCCTCGATATTTGGGGCGCAGCTTGCGCGACTCACCGGTTGCCCCTGGCTCTCTCTGGAGCATCGCGATATCACCTGGCTCGTAATTTGGCGCGACTCCTCGTTTCTTATTGTAATATTTTCTCTGGATCTCTTGATCTTGACGTATATTTTCTATGGCCTTTTTTCGTCGTTTGAGCACGGTAGCGTCCAAACTTTTCGCAACAGCGTCGTCGACTTCGTCACCTGTCGCGCTTCGGGAACGAAAGTTGAAGAGAAGACTGAAGGGTGTTGCTTTAGTTGCTCGGTTTAACGTGTTGTTTATTCCCCACTGAACTTGAGTGAGCGATTTGTCCCAGTCGTTTCCGTCACTCCTTTTCGACAGACTGGCAATGGCAGGTGTTATGATTCTGTTGTATCTCTCGACTTGCCAGTTCGCTCGGGGCGTGCAGGTGGCATTTTTCACGTGGGCGACGTTGAGAGACTTACAGTATTGCTCGAACTGTCGGCTGGTAAAAGCGGTGCCCAGGTCGGTAACCAATCTTCGTGGAGCACCGAAAATGCTAACGAGGTCCCTTAGAAAGTTCTTCGCGTAGCCTGACGAAGTGCTCCTGACGGCTCGAATGACAACGAACTTCGTGAAACCATCCACCGCCACTATTAAGTACGCGTTGCCACTGGTGCTGCGGACGAATGGGCCTAAGTGGTCCATATGAATGGTGTCAAAGGGCACGGCGACTTTTTCAATGCAGTGTAGTTTCCCTGGCTTTTTCCCGGATGGAACCTTGCGGTATAAGCACTCCAAACAGCATGCAATGTGTAGCTTGACGTAACGACGCATTCTCGGGAACCAATACTTCTTGGTGAGTAGTGCCATGGTCTTCTCAACAGCAAAGTGACCGACGTCATCGTGGCATCGTCTTACTACCTGCCAACGTGCTCCTCGTGGCACAGCCCACATCAGACGTTCTTCTCCGTTTTCATGGACTCTCTTGAGAATCTTGCCCTCCGCTAGCACGTGCTCGTTCTTGATACGCTGCGACTCTTTAGTTTTTGAAGGCCCCTGTAAGTAGTCTCTAATTCCTTGTAACGTTGGATCCGTCTTTTGGGCCAACACCAACCAGTCATCGTCAGAGAGGTCTGTAGCGAAAACGTTGACGTCCGTGGCGACATCCATTTCTTCGGGTCCCGATGCAGGAGCCCTACTGAGCGCGTCTACGTGGTTCATCTTGTTTCCTGGTCTGTGTTCAACACCATATCTATAGTCCTGCAACTTCAGATACCACCTTCCTATGCGTGGCATTAAATCTCGCTTAGACAGCGTGGTTCGTAGTGAGTTACAGTCTGTTACGAGTGTGAACTCAATCCCGTACAGGTACGGCCGAAGTTTCTCAACCGTCCAAACCACAGCTAACGCTTCAAGCTCGTAGGAGTGGTAGTGTTCTTCTTCCCGCGTCGTGCGTCGGCTGACATACATGACCGGATGCATCAAACCGTCTCTTTGTTCTTGTAACAGTACGCCTCCGATACCGAACTTGGATGCGTCTGTGTGTACCTCTGTTTTAGCACCGTGTGCGTAGAGTGCCAGCGTGGGTTTGCTCATAAGACTGCTTCGCAGCTTCTGGAATGCAGCCTCTTGGTTTGTCGTCCAGTGCCACTCTTCTCCCTTACAAAGTAACGTGGTGAGTGGTTTCGCTGTTGTGGCGAACCCGGCCACGAAGCGTTGAAAATAACTACAAAGGCCGAGAAAACGGCGAAGGTCATGAACGTTTGTTGGCGTCGGAAATTCGGAGATGCCCTTCAACTTGACTTGGTCAGGGTTGATGGACGAAGCCGAGATCTCATACCCCAAGTAGGTTATCTTTTCGTGGAAGAAAGAACACTTCTTCAAGCGCAGAGTGAGGCCAGCGTCTCTTAACACCTCCAGAATTTCGCGTAGAATGGCCAACCCTTCTTCAAACGTAATCGATGGAATCAACAGGTCCTCCATATAGGCCATGACCTTCGTGTTCTTGAGTGGGCCGAACACCGTGTTTATCATTCGCTGAAACACGCTTGGTGCGTTGACGAGGCCGAAAGGCATGCGAGTAAATTCGTAGTGGCCATCCGGAGTGATGAACCCTGTCTTCTCTTGGCTTTCCTCGGAGATGGGCACTTGATAATACCCAGATGCAAGATCTAGGCTTGTGAATAAATGTTTGTCGTGAGGCCTGTCTAGTTGGTCATCAATCAGAGGGAGGGGATACCTGTCCTTCTTTGTGATTTTGTTGAGGGCGCGAAAGTCAACACATAGTCGCCTCTCACCGTTCTTTTTTGTGACCAGTAAGATAGGACTCGCGTAGTCAGAAGTAGAGTCCGTTACAACTCCAGCGTCTTTGAGTTCATCGATCATTGACCGAACAGTCTGCCTCTCAGAGTATGCTAGACGGTATGGGCGGTACGTCACAGGAATGTGTGTTGTCAACTCTATTTTCATTTTTGTTGCCTTCGCACACCCCAGTTCCGAAAGCGATGTAGCAAAACAGTCGCGGTAGTCATTAATCGTGGTGACGAGTGCTTTCTTTTGCGAGTCAGAAACGGTTGGACCGACATCTACGTCCTCTGCTGCAATCAAGGGTGTCGGCTTTCTTTCGCTGTAGTTTACGTACGCGTCGAGGTTGGTGTTCGCGTCTTCTTCCATGCACCATGTTCCTCTAGCGATCTGTTCGTTTTCAGCGAGGACCAGCGGCGTAGCCGATATGTTAGTTACGGGGATATACAGTTCTCCCAGTTCGTCTTTTCTCAAAACACAGGTCGGGATGTAATGCCCACGCGATTCGTGGATACTGCTATCAATAAAGATGTCTCCGTGGGTTCTCTGTGTCCCTTCTCCGGAGCGGAGCGCGATAATCCCGACGTAGCTTGGAGGGATTACGACCGCTTCTTTGACCCATAGGCTTACGCGTCGTGGAGGCAGGACCAGTATCTTAAGATTGGCCAAAGTCCCGTCCTCATCATCAGACGTGTCACGCTCTTCGATAATGCGTAGGGTGTTCTTGCGACGTACCACCGTAACATGCGGTTGTTCAGTAAAAGGCTGTCCGACAAGCAGCGGAACAATCTGCACTGCGTCGCGCACCACGTACACCCTGACGTTGGCCTTGGCTTGGTCGACCGTCGATGTTGCTTAAAAACCCCCTAAAGGCGTCGTTTTTCCAGAGCCAAACCCGTTGATTGTGAAGGGATGATTCAACGGTTCGTAGGTCACGTTCATCAGCTGCGCTTCGCTTTCTCGTAACGTTACGCACTGGCTTCCCATGTCGACGAAAGCTTTGATTGGCCTGTCGTTTAGAATTGCCTGCAT